GCCTCGCTGTTTGCTTCCAGAGCTGTCGGGAAAGAATCGTCTTCTACAGGATAAAGTCCCTGTCTACGCGCGTGAATTGCCCGTGTCCAAAGTCTACTGGCAGGAGGCTGTCTGCTGCAATCTCCGCGAAAGGGATGGCTTTTACAATATATGGGCTGATTGCAAATAAGTTACTAATAAGCCGCTTTGGCGTAAGAACGGCTCTATGCATTATTTCCTAAGATCTGTTTATTTGCAAGTATTTCTTTCTTTCTCTTCTTAAAAAAAAAAAAATATTTCGTTCAGGAAAATAAAAAAAAAGTACAGAAGTTAATATTTAGACAGTCAGACTATTAAGTAATGGAGCTATAAACTCGCAAATACGGCACTTTCATTTTACTTAACAATAGATAACACAACAGCGACAGTGAAACAGGCCAAACAAAAGCGATCACCAAAATTGTTGTGACAGTACAATTACCCGGCTAGGAAATTTATTCAATATGCTTTACCATTGCATTGACACAGCAGGGAAAAAAAAGCCCAAATGTTTAGAGAATAATACAAGAAGGCAGGAGGTATTTGGAAAAAAAAAAGGATTTATTTTGAAATACACTTTTAAGAGATACTTTGCCTCCCCGATTTGTTACCGATGTGCATCTGACACGACGATACGAAACAAACAAACGAAGAAAAACCACATTCTGTACAGAGCTCTAAAATGAGCCGCGAGTATCTACAAGATGAGCTTTACGCCGGGGCGTGGGTTGGAGAGGGGCCCGATCCTGCAGTCCGCACTCTCAAAACGAGTTTCGCAGACGTGTGGTAGGAAAGCTTGGCCCCGAGTCTGCGTGTGTGTCTCCGTGTGTGTGTGTGAGTGTGTGTGCGCGCGCGTCTGTGAGTTCCTACAACACAGTCCTTGAGTAAAGTGGGCAAGTTGGAGCTGCCGGAGCGGGCGCGGGTCCCTGGCTGCTCTAGAAGTCCTGCCGCGGGGTGTGAGTTAGACTGTGCCGCCGTAGATCACAGTTTCGCCTGAACACTTTGCCGCACTGCTCACAGTTGTAGGGCTTGATGTCTGTATGGGTAAGAAGGTGAGTTTTCAGATTACTTCTTTGATTAAAGGTTCTTCCACATGTGGGGCATTTGTGTGGAGATTCCTGTTCAGATTTGAAGCAAGCAAAGGATTAATCCTTCACAAACTACCTGGTTTAACGTATTACTGCACTTTTTGTTATCGCAACGCACAACTTGAAATATCGGGGTTGGACACGAACGAGAGCAGCCCCGGGCGGACGGCAGACCGCCTGCCCGCCCTGTCCTGCCCCAGATGGGCTATTTTATAGT